TTGCCACCTGGCCTGTAGATCATAATGGCCCGTTGGAAATTTATAAGTATGTGCTGTATTTAGTTTCTTGCACTATTAATAAATTATTAACACGTTTCTCTAATTGGGGTTGATATTAGGTTAAAAAATTCTGTTTTAATTGAAGTGTTTTACAATGAATTTATCATTTTTTGCTGTACCATGAAAGTGCTGAAATACAATGATAGGCGACGCACCTCTTGTGGATTGTATATTTTGTTACTTTTAATTATCAGCTGCAATTTAAAAAAAAACTGTATGGTAATTTTCTATAAGAAAACTTTTTTTCCGGGTCGATCTGAGACAATTTTTTCTTCGGGGCTCAAAAAAAGGCAGTGTATTACCTTCCTTTTTTACCAAAAATCGACTACACCAAAAATTCTCGGGAAAACACTTTTTCTTATTAATTTGGATGCGTAGAATCCCAAATCAATTCGTTCTTTTTCGATCAGACTTCTCAATCAAAAGTGATAGACTAGAAAAAAATTCAAAGGGCTGTAACTTTTGAACTAGTAGCCCAATCTTGGAACTGTTTGAAATTATGGATTCTACAGGCCACATTCTATAAAAAAAATTTTTTCCGGGTTGACCTGAGACTATTTTTTCTTCGGGGCTCAAAAAAAGGCAGTGTATTACCTTCCTTTTTTACCAAAAATCGACTACACCAAAATTCTCGGGAAAACACTTTTTCTTATTAATTTGGGTGCGTAGAATCCAAATCAATTCGTACTTTTTCGATCAGACTTCTCAATCAAAAGTTATAGACTAGAAACCAATTTCGAAAAAAAATCAAAGGGCTGTAACTTTTGAACTAGTAGCCCAATCTTGGAACTGTTTGAAATTATAGATTCTACAGGCCACATTCTATAAGAAAATTTATTTTCCCGGTCGATCTGAGACAATTTTTTTTCGGGGCTCAAAAAAGGCAGTGTATAACCTTCCTTTTTTACCAAAAATCGACTACACCAAATTTTCTCGGGAAAACACTTTTTCTTATTAATTTGGGTGCGTAGAATCCAAATCAATTCGTACTTTTTCGATCAGACTTCTCAATCAAAAGTTATAGACTAGAAACCCATTTCGAAAAAAAATTCAAAGGGCTGTAACTTTTGAACTAGTAAGCCAATCTTGGAACTGTTTGAAATTATGGATTCTACAGGCCACATTCTATAAGAAAATTTATTTTCTGGGTTGATCTGAGACAATTTTTTTTGCGGGCCTCAAAAAAAGGCAGTGTATAACCTTCCTTTTTAGCCAAAAATCGACTACACCAAAATTTCTCGGGAAAACACCTTCTCTTATTAATTTTGGTGCGTAGAATCCAAAACAATTCGTACTTTTTCAATCAGACTTCTCAATCAAAAGTTATAGACTAGAAACCCATTTCGAAAAAAAATTCAAAGGGCTGTAACTTTTGAACTAGTAAGCCAATCTTGGAACTGTTTGAAATTATGGATTCTACAGGCCACATTCTATAAGAAAATTTATTTTCTGGGTTGATCTGAGACAATTTTTTTTGCGGGCCTCAAAAAAAGGCAGTGTATAACCTTCCTTTTTAGCCAAAAATCGACTACACCAAAATTTCTCGGGAAAACACCTTCTCTTATTAATTTTGGTGCGTAGAATCCAAAACAATTCGTACTTTTTCGATCAGACTTCTCAATCAAAAGTTATAGACTAGAATCCAATTTCGAAAGAAAATTCAAAGGGCTGTAACTTTTGAACTAGTAGCCCAATCTTGGAACTGTTTGAAATTATGAATTCTACAGGCCACATTCTATAAGAAAATTTATTTTCTGGGTTGATCTGAGACAATTTTTTTTGCGGGCCTCAAAAAAAGGCAATGTATAACCTTCCTTTTTAGCCAAAAATCGACTACACCAAAATTTCTCGGGAAAACACCTTCTCTTATTAATTTTGGTGCGTAGAATCCAAA